GCCCTTCTTCCTCCTCGTCCAAGGCTGTACCCCCCTTGAGTCGTATTCTGGGTTTAAGAACGGAGCTCCGTTCCCAGAGAACCCAGGGCCTTCAACGAATCTTCTACCTGAAGCTGGAGGATCTGGTACCGCCTCCACCATTGATTGACAGGTTCCTGGACACTTTGCCCTACTGACAGCCCGGGTTGTCGCACAGAGAAAGACCCATGTCACGTCCTGTTCAGGCCTTTTTTCCCTCCCGAGGAGCACACACACACATCCAGAAGAGAGACTCACTCCCCTCTGACAGATGCAGAGCAGAGAGAGCCAATCAAATGCTTTTCACTCAACAGGACAACCAATCAAGAACGCCTTTTCACTCAAACGGACAACCACCTAAATGCTTTTCACCAGTATAAAAGACAATTACTCAAACGCTTTATCACTTTTTATTTGATCCTCCTATTTTTCTCACACGAGGGAGGATGACGAGGCTGAGATGGATGATGGAAAAATGACTTTTCACTGTCCTCTCTCCGTCTGGGTGGCAGCTCATCCAGCAAAAAAAAAACAAAAAAAAAAACAAAAAACAAAGAACACCAAGGTTTATGAGTACTGTTTATCTGTGTTTTGGCCTGGCTCATCCAGTCTGAGGACTACTTTTTAATAAAAAGGAGAGGGGAGGTGTCATTGTGATCGAATGTTATCAAAGTTGAAGACGTCCCAGTGAAACACAAGTCACTGTGCATTCTACTTCCTCCTGCTGAAAGGGAAGAAGAGGGCGTTTTCGTAGTGAAATGTCAAAGGTCAGACAGTGCAAGCATAGACATGCAGAAACATCACAAAGCAGGACACAGATATTTCATAAACACGTGGAAGTGGCTGTTGAGTTGGGCTCTTGATTCCAAGTGCAATTTTTTAAGTGCTATCTCACCACAAAAGGAAGAGAGACGGAGAAGGAATGGTTTAATTTCAAACTCTAAATTATTTTAATACAAAGACTTGTCCTGTACTGTCAGTAGCTAAAAGAAAAAGAGACAGTCTCCGTCTGGCTTTAGACAGCAGAGGAGATACTGTGCACTAACGATTGATAACTGAGTCACCCAGACTTGAACTTGCTCTAGTATGTTTTTTTATTTGTATCAACTCATTTTGAAATCATAGGTTGAGTAGGAGTATGGAGGAATGAGTATGGACTGAAATTGGCTTTTGAAGCACTTACACCCTGAGAAGGGCTAGAGGCACAGACACACACCCTACCTGCTCGCCTGGAGGACGGCAGGGAGTCGGGGAGAGGAGGGTGCTCGACAGATAGCTGTACGTCCAGGGGTGGAACATTCCGCAGTCATGCTCTTTTTCTATTTGTTTCTATTGTGGAGGCCGTGTGAGAGTGTGGAGGACATGGTTGCATACTGTCTTTGTGTGTACGCTTAGAGAAGCCAGGATCATATGCATGGTGTGTTTTAAGCTGTCAAGAGCTGCCATAGCCTGTCAAAACAGCTCGACCTGTGTTTGTGTCTCAGACTGCGGCTCTATGGGGATCTCCCTGGGCCTCTACCACCCACTCACACACTCACGGCAGCAGTTTGAAATATGAAAAAAAGCAAATTATATAGATATAAATATAAATATAAATATATATATATATATATATATATATAAAAAACTAATATTTTGAAGTGTTTTTAGCTTTTTCAAATATTGTGGTACGAGTTGTGCATTGTTTTTTGAAGAAGAGAAACAAAAAAGAAAAAAAGTTGCTGTTTTTTCAATGTCCCTCTTTGGTTTGAGTTTCCTGTTCGTTTTTTTTTTTCTCTTTGGTTCACTGGATTTTATGTTCAGCACTTTGAAATCATAAACTAGTTCTGATTAATCTGCCTGACTGTGTCCTGTGTTTTGATTCTTTAAAATTACTTAACTCTTTCACACAAAATGAAAAAAAAACATTTAAACTTTTTTAAAGTAAGCTAACAAATTTGAGCTGATTTTGCATAAAATATGTGCGTATGTGTGTGCATGTGTGCGTGCGTGTGTGTGTGTGTGTGTGTGTGCGTGCACGCGCGTGTGTGTGTGTGTGTCTGGTCAGACACAAAAGCCTCTTGGCAGGTAAAAGGCCTCGTCTCTCTCCCGAGGGACCCTTGGGCTCTCAGAGAGAGTAGAGGGGGATTAAGAGAGCAAGGAGGGGGAGGAAGAGGGAGGAGAGGAGAGATTCATGTTAGCATGAGGTCCAGATCAGCCTCCAGCCTCGTTAAACACCATCGATCGCCATGGTGACATTTCACAGCACATGCCGTCTATACTGTCACTGCCATCACTCACTTTCCCTCCTGCGCAACAGCGTGAGCACTAACACACACACACACTCTCTCTCTCTAGGACAGCCAGGTGATTGATAGTAACTGTGGTACTGAAATTGTGAAGTAGTTCTATCTGTGTGTGTGTGTGTGTGAGATATAAAGAGAAGAGTGTACCAGAGTAAAGTTCAGAGTGAGTACATCAGTGTGAAGTGCACCCTGCTGTACACGCTCCATACAGAATCAATGATGTGGCACCACATGACCCCAAATCTTCTATCCCGAGATATTAACATTTGTCCCTTTCTAATAAAACTGAAATTTAAGAGGCAGAAACAGTTTTGTTTATTTTAGTGGTAAACAATAACCAGAAAGTGGGCATGTTTTCTGATTCTGTGTGTTTGCATGTGTGGGTTTATGTGACAGACACAGATCTGCTCAACACCTCATGCCCCTGTTGGGGATTGTGACGTCTGTGTTTGATCATCATGCAGGAAAAGACCATTCACACCGTTTTTATAGTGGCACGCATGCACTGTGTTGATGTGTGTGTGCGTGTGTGTGCAAATGATTACGTGTTAATCCTCCCACTACAACAGCGACATTTCTGAGTGTCAGGTAAAATAACATGACCACAAAGCAGAGAGCTCTGCTTGAAGAGGGAGACACACACTAAATGCACACACACACACACACACACACACACAGTTAGCTGTCAGTCTCCCAACCAATCGATCAGTGCTGACAGATAGCAGATACACCCAGAGTCTTAATTAGAGGTCCCATTAGAACATACACACACACACAAATACATACGCACACATACATTTAAAGCAGCTATTTTTCTATCTGTGGGTTCATAACTTACACTGATCCATTCAGAAATGTAGAACAGCCCCTTTAAGACTCCAAATATATTCTCTAAAAAAATAACCTTGCAGCAAAATAAAAATCTCCATTTGTAATGTTGATATATAGTTCTTATTGATGACTTCTGCAAAATTGTCATTATATCAGACTTTGTACATGGAAGACATTTTGACATGTCACAGCACAGGTGTATATAACATGATGAAAAATGGCTGAATCCCATTTAGATGCTTCAAGTTTCAGGGTCCTGGTGTTGTGCATGCTGGATCCCTGTCACACTGTTACTGGAACACTTATATTAAAACAAAGCCACCAGTGATGTTCTCAGTAAGACCTGTGCTTTTCCCACTATGACAGGTCAAAATGTCAGCTGAGCCATCAGGATGTGCTGATCACACCTGCTTTAAAAACAGTAAAATGCAGGATGGAAGAAGTGAACAGTGTTCCCTGCTGACCAACTTCCTGGATTAGACTGAAACGATGGACACCTGAGTCCTCCTGAGAACAGATACACACAAACATGCATGCATGCATGCACGCACACACACTCTCTCTCTCTCTCTCTTTCTCAAACAAACACAGAGGCAGACAAATGGACCCAAACATTTTTGATAATTTGCTGTTTGGACTTTCACTGTCAGTTTTGTTCCTCCCCCTCAGTCTGCAACAAATCTGGGAGTCCCCTGGAAGCAGACAGATAGACAGACAGACACACAAAGATACAGACACAGACACAGACACAGACACAGACACACACACACACACACACACACACACACTCACACACACACACACACACACACACACACACACACACACACACACACACACACACACACACAACATCTGTACATCACCAGGGGAAATCCCCTGTCGCTGGGGACTGTGTGTTTTACTGTGGCCCCTTGCATGGAGCATCCGCTGAGGGAAGAGTGTGTGGGGAGTTGGCCTAAATGTCAAAGGTAAAAGGTGCTGAAGAAGAGAAATGGAAACATGCAATAGACCCACTCACATAGGCTGATCTCAGAGTAGAGGAGGGGGAACCCCATTTCTCTCTTTCTCTCTTCCATACACAGCATATACAAAAATATCACACTTAATGTTTCTTTCCACAGGATTGATTCTATTTATAAATGCTGCCAACTGTTTAAAGCTAAATGGAAAAGGCAAAAAATATGTCACATTAAATCAAGTCCCTCATCTCGTTGCTATAACCTTAGTTCTAACTTTAAATATTGAGATGTGTTACTTAACAATGCTGGAGCTAGGACTTTGTTTTATTTTGCTACAACCTGAAATTTAAGCATGGTCACATCCTTTTGATAGTATAGTTGTTATGAGTAATTGTGAGATATAGTGACCCCACAGCTTCATAACTGCCCTCAACTAAAATAATTATGGCCCCATAGGAGAGCTGCAGCCCGGATTTTGGAAAGCGCAATAGCACAACATGAACTACTCATGTCATTCAACCCTACATTCCCAGATACGTTAAGACATGATCCAGTTAAGAAATAACCTCATTGTCCTCAATGGTAGCTACAATACTGTCTCATAAAAATTTGCAAAAATCTTGATTTAAATTAAATAGAATTTAATTATGACAATTGTGATAATAAAAATCGATGTGATTCGTATGTAAAATTTTGAATACTTTTTTGTTTTGTATACCGCCCCTACTGATACAACACGACACGATCAAATAAGATCAATACGAAAAATTCAAGTCGTCACAGAATTAGTTTATAAACATCGTGGTAACTTGATAAAGGATACTTCCAAGGGACCCGGTGACGAGGAACACAATGTGCTGCGGGTTCTGGTTTAAGTCGGAAACTATTCGTGGACGCACTGGGAAGAGAGTTGTTTACAAACACGAAACTGTTACAAACAATAACGAAAGCGTTGTCGTAAATTAGTGAATGTAGCTAAAGGTCAATTTTCACATCAGTGTGGAGACTCACAGCAGTCTTTAGCGAGTATAATATATTTTTGAGTGACATTTTTGCTGGTAAGTGTCGCCGTATGTCCTTTAAGTTTCGTTTGCCTCAGAGGTGGTTAGCAGTAGACTGGTGTTTCAAAGCGCTAATATTTAGCTAATAGCGTCTTAACTGTTTCTCTGACATGTACAATACATTGTACATGTTCATAAAACCCTTTGAATGTTTTGGGGGTTTGGGGTATCATCCCCCGACTCCCTCTAGTACTACTGTGTGAGAGGTTTAGGATTATTATTGGCTTCTAATAACCATTAAAATAACCCTCACTGTCTATACAGCTTAGTAATAACACACGGCACTATTATGAATATCTACATGGTACAGTAGTATTATATAGGGCTACAATATTACATATTATTCTTTCATTCTTGATTAATCTATCAATTATTTTTCAATTAACCGCTTAATCATGAAAAATGCATGTAGCAAGTCCATAGCCTAACCTTAACCATTAAAAACCCAGAGCTACTTAATTTAAAGTGATATGAAGTAAAGAAAAACAGCTCATTCTCACATTCAAGAAGCTTGAAACTGAGAATTTTGGGCATTTTTGCTTGATAAATTACTTGAATGATTAGTCCATTATCCAAATTGCTGACAATTTTCTCTTGACTGATTGATTGAGTCATCCTTTCAGTGTAGATGTTGCACTGTCAGTATATCAATGCTGTAATACTCAACTTACTCTTTTCACTAAGAGGATGCTGGTGAGCAAAAAATTGTATTCATCTTATGGAGGTGCCAGTTCTAGATGTGTGGGCAGGCCCGCATGTGTCATACAGTTTATTAATTTGATTTATGTATTTTATCAAAATCATACTCTGCTGGTATTTACAGTGTCTGTGGGGGCAGATAGATAAAGCTGAGCAGGTGCAGTGTCTAAAGTTACACAGAGGTGTTGGCTGTGGGCAGTCAGCAGGACACATGGCAGAGGAAAGCAACAAGCTGACACTGAGGCGCCTGGAGGCACCGATCCACAAGTTCATTAAAGTGGCTCTACCCACGGACCTGGAGAGACTGCAGAAACACCACAATAACATACTGAAGGTGACGGCTGAAATCTGGCTGGACACATGATCTCACCCTCACATCCACACTCTTACTGCCGGTCAACAGATGGACAACTGATACTTTTTCTTTCATTTTCACAGTACCAACACAGCCAGCAATGGGACCGCCTTCATCAGGAGCATATCAATGCCAGCAGAACTGTTCAGGTATAATAATAGATACTCAGTCAACTTCAGAAAAGCAGCAGTGTTTGTGTGTGTGACAGACAGATAAAGGTAACTGGCCTGTCAGTACATTATATTCTCTTGTAATTTTGTAAAACAAAAGATAGGAGCTATATTATTATTTTGTAAACCATTAAGCTATTTGATATATTTCAGTGTCATCATAACACTAAACTTCTCATTCAAAACTACCAGCTGCTATGTCATTACAGAGCCATTACTACATTATTCAGGTCGGGCAGATATGTGAATGTGAGGATGATGATGTGACTCACCATCTCTCAAAATTTCTGAATAAGCATGACCTTGCAACAGTGTGACATGTAACTTTTGACTCATATTGTCCAGACAATTAGGAGCTCAGTTTAGGAAAAACTTGAGGTTTCCTGATTTTGTGAGCGACCAAGGTTTTCGAGTTTGAAAATCAAAAGTGATGACCAGTGGCGGGACAGTAAGTGTTGTCTTTGTCCAGTCAAATATAGAAAGTATTCTTGGTGATGTTTTAGTGAAGGAGATAACTTTCAGTCATCAGCACCTGACTCAATCAAATGCCTATTGAACCCTGCAGGACCACAATGAACAAAATGAATACTGTATTGTTTGAAACAACCAACTGTTATTACATTACTAGGTTGCACGATAACAACTAGATTGTCTCCATGACAACTAAGCAACTCCATCTGCTGAGCAAGGCCATGTGATTTGGTTGAAAATAATATAATAAATCTGTCTCGATGTATTGATTTAGAGTTTAGAGCTACATACATACAAAAAAGACTGAGTTACTTATTAAGAACTGAATTAATGTCCTATATAGAAATTCCGTGTAGTTTTAAAAAATCAGGGCAAGAAAAGAGCCGTTACCAAACCTCAAATGGACCATCTCTTGTGTGTGTTGTGTAAGTACTTGTGTACTTGTTCACATGGTGGGTGTGAAATGCCTTAGGGGATGTTGTTGCCTGGAAGCCACCATGTCTCTGAAGGTGAAATAACTCCAAGCAGGCACACACCTATTCTCTCACCATTACTCTACAAATCCCAGGGACACACGCAGAGTGCTTTCTCATGTCTTCATGGTGTTAATCCAGAGTAGGGCTTAGTCTACTCTGCTTTAGATGTGTATATTCTGTATGTGTGTGCATATGTGCCTATGTTTCATAGACAGATAAAGTAGGTAGATAGAGAGTAGGTGGCTGAGTATGTTTGTGAGTGTGTTTAGGCTCTCTCTTTTGCTTTTTATCCATTTGTCCTTTGTCCCTCCTTGCGGGAAGACAGGCTGAAGTCTCTCCTCCTGCTGATGATTGACATGTACTCCCACTAGCCTATCACCAAGCTAACCCCCAGGAGGAGGGCACAAGCAGACTCAGTACCCCCACCCTCACCACAGCAGCTACAGCAAACGCTGTGAGACAGGGGGAGTGTAGTCAATACTGTTTTATCATGAATATCTGCTATTGAGATTGTGGTCGGTTGGTCTGGCTGAGTGTGTTCAAGCTACTTACGGTCACGGTTAATTTGCAGGCTGACAGGTGCCTGACCTGCCTGTCTTGGTGTTAATCAGTGTGTTTTTCAGTTTTATGCACGTGAGGCCAAGTGTATGCATGTTTGTTTATTCATGTTGTGTAATTAGCTGAATGTATTATTGGCAGCCCATTGACCCCCTGAGCCCGGGTCGTGCCGCGGCCTGGAGGGCTGATGGCTAGGATGTAATCCTCCTGTCACCCTCAGGGCACGGTGGGATGAGGGGGCTTGTTTTCCCCAGCCTCCATGAACCTTATTAAGCCCCTGCCAAAGCACGCATATGCATTTCCCATCACTAGATGAGTTTATTTCTTTCCAACTGGGGCAACAGGCAAAATGAATTTTACTTGTATTTAGGGAGAATTTTTATGTCCTGTGTTGATATATTACTCAATCTCACTGAGAAACCTGCTTCTCCTCCGTCTCCCTGCAGCAGCTGAGAGCTAACATCAGAGAGATGGAGAAGCTATGCGCTCGGGTTCGTGCTGAAGACGCTGATGCACTGGAAGCGCTTGTCAAGCCAGTCAGGGAAAGAGCGTCAGCTGCCACACAAGACTTCTTGCTTTTGCACTCTAACCCTGTTCAACAGCCTACACCACCACCATCACCACCACCTGCTACTCAGCCATCCAGCTATGTGTCCAGCAGTTGCCATGCTATTGATGATGCAGGTGAAGAGCCGATGTCTAGCAGGCAAATACAGCTCCACCTTCCAGAAATCCCTGCAGATCAGAGTGCGGCTGAGTCCTGGGACAACCTGGAAGAGGTATACATGTGTGAACTCTACCATTCCCTACACAACATTTTTGAACAATACCGTAACACATAGTCTGGCAATCATACTCTATTTTATACTTATTTTATGTCATTGTTAGAGTTAGCCCTAACCCTGTTAGATAGATTCTATTTTTTAGTATATATGTAAATACAAGGTGTACAGTGTATTCGTGACATCCATGGCAGTTTACAAATAGCTTCACCAACTTGTGTAAATTGTGTTTAGTTTGATCAGGATTACTCAAATCTTACTTCTTGTGGTGTAATATTACCTTCTGTGTTTGTATTTGTATTTGTATTGTTTCATCCCAGCCTTTTTTAAACATAGTAAACAAATCGATGTTTCACATATTCTGACTATGGTATATCCATCTATCTATATCTCCTGTATTTGTAGGTGATGTAAAAACCCAAAATATGTATAGAATGAAGAGTTTCTTAAGTAACCATCATTAATCGTATTACTTACACTTAACTGTGTTTTTCCTACTGTCACTGTCACTGTCTCTGAAAAAGGTCTATGTTGAATTCAAATTAAAGCTCTAAACATAAGTACAAGAAAGATGTTTCCATCCTCGGTCTGTACTAAGTGTTGCTATGGTTACATGCACTATTCATAGATATTGCAAGATCGTCTAATGCAATTGACCCCTCTTACCTGTTCCTACAGACGCACCTATTTCACTCTGCTTCACTGTTATATTCACTGTCTTTAGTTAATTCTATTGTCATTCTCCAATACTGACAGCATTGACATACTGTAGCTGTAGATTTGTGTGATAAGCATTATAATGAAATAAATACAGACATTTTTTCCTCTCAGGATCTGAAGGAGCTGAGTGGTTTGGTGACGGAGTTCTGTCTGCTCGTCCATGTGAGTACACAAACTGAACTCTGTCTGTTACTTCTTCGGCTGCTACATTTGCATTTTCACATCGTGTGCATTTCTGTATCTATGTGTGTGCACAGCTACCCCTGTGAACAAAAACAATGTGACAGACAGTTCGCCTATAGCGTTTCCAGGAAGTAGTGTGTATTTGACCGTGTGTGCTTTTGTTGCCTGGTAAGGCTCCTCTGAGAGAAGGTTACACAGATCAGCTCAGGACTACTGCTGGGGCCCCAGAGGCCCTTCACCCAGGCAAGAGGAGAGGTTGAGTAGTAGACAGGGGAGAGAGGGAGGATTTGGGGGAGGACAGCGGGTTGTCCACAGAGGGAGAGGAGAGGAACAAGGGATGCATCGGAGCAGGTGGAGAACAGACGGCTCAGATTATCACTCTATCCTCAGGGATGGAGGGAGAGAAGCAAGGAGGCAGGGTGAAAGGAGAGATTAACAGTGAAAGAGAAAGAGAGAGAGAGTGTGATAGAGTGAAGATGTAGTGAGGGTGAATAAAAACAGACAGAGGCATTGGTGGGGGGGGGGGGGGGGGCAGAAAGAGCATAGACATGTTGTTGTGGTGTCTCTAGGGTGAAAGACGCCGTTAGGGGAGTAATATTCCAGCGCTCAGCCACAATGGAAATACTGAGTGTGTGTGAGTGCGTGGTTATATCTGTGTCTGTGCATGCGTCATGTTAGTGGCAGTTCCAGTGTTTGTGTGCTTATATTTGAGTTTCTTTATTTGTGTATCTTCTGTATCTTTCTAATGAGCTTTAAACGCACGAATACAGTATTAAATTATCTAATAATTTTTCAAGTATTTCTTCTATTAATTATTTACAGTGTAAAATCTCAACAGTGGGCAAATTCCCATCACAAGTTACTTGAATCTATTGTAAGGTCAAAAAATGCTAAAAAATAATTCAGTTTATTTAATCTCATTCCATTTATTAAGATCACCATAGCTTCAAAACCAAGGCTTTTTCGTAGATCCAATTATCAATTAATCAAAAGATTATTTCAGGTTTCACCCAAAAAGAGGGAAAAAATTGACCGTTTCTTTGTAGGTCTGCTGTTACAAAGAGTCATAAAGTTAAGATTAATAAAAAAAATAAAATTAAAAAAAAATTGACAAATGTAGGTAAAAAACAGTTCCACCACAACGTCCATTTAGTATTTCTGATGAAGCTTTTGCTTGTATCACACATCTTTCTAGGTAGATGGTGTTTGCCCAGTTGTCATGGAATTGTAAAATTCCCCTTTTTTTGAGCCAACAGCTCCTGAATGGACTGCTTTCAATTTAACAAATGTTTTTTTTTTTGAAATTTCCACCAACCTACATATACATACACAACAACAACATTCGGGTTTATCAGTTGGAGCGGCGACTATTAGTCGATTAATCAATCAACAGACAATTAGTGAGCAACTATTTTTAGAATGGAATAATTGTTTTTTGTATTTTTCATATTTCATTATGATTATATGACAGTATTTTATACCTTTATTAGACAGTGATATATTAGAAATGACAGGAAACAAGAGGGAGAGGTGCAACATAGGTCCCTAACTGAACTTAAATTGGGGATTTTTGGCTCTTATTTGGTGTATGGGTCTCGGTGAAACTGCTGCTCTTCTGATCTAAGAAGTCACAAGACTCAAAACTGCCATCCTTAGTCCTTAAATCGACAGAGCTGATTCTGTAAAATAACTTGAACCAGAGTGAGGAGGTGAGAGAGGAAGAAGCGGCTTTAAGGGAAAGGTGAGGAAGAAGAGGAGAAGGAGAAGGAAAGTGCTCTGGTTGTTGTTTGGTCACTGTGTCTATCTAGCCCCCACATGGAGAGAGACAGCTGCCACTCTGAATATTTCATGAGATCTACACAATGCCACACACACAAACACACTGTATGGCCCCACCCCTGGTTAATCTCTCTTGAATATACCTACAGCCTCCACACACACACTCACACACACACTCACACACACCCTTCCCATGTAATCTTGTGCCGTGGAGCAGAATCTGGACACATAAGAAAACTTAGTACACGACAGGTGGTTGCTCTTTCACACATGTGTATACTGTATGTATTGCTGCTTGCTTGCATGTGTGTGTATGTTAATATGTATTTGTGTGTCTAACCCCTGTGCATCAGTCTCAGCAGGAGAAGATTGACAGCATAGAGGACAACGTCAACACAGCCGCTGCCAACGTGGAGGAGGGGACCAAGAGCCTGGGGAAGGTGTGTGTGTGTGTGTGTGTGTGTGTGTGTGTGTGTGTGTGTGTGTGTGTGTGTGTGTGTGTGTGTGTTTGTGTGTGTATGAGATTCCAATTCAGCGTGTTCGCTACATCCCTACACATCGAAATATCGTACCTGCTCACACTAATATTCGTCCACGACTAACAAAAACTTTAATTATCATCAGACCTTCATCCAACGAATAGATAAACCCAGAGATAATACCCCTACCATCGTCGTAGTGTGTATTTGTGTGGTGTGTTGTGGAGTGTTGTGTGTTGTGTCTGTGTGTGGTGTGTGTTGGTATTAGTGTGTGTTAGGTGTATGTGTGTGTGTGTGTGTGTGTGTGTCCTGATGATCTGATGTGCGTGTGTTTGTGGTGGTGGTGTTTGGAAGATAGGGAGATCGATGGCACTTTGCCTCCCAGCCATTCCACAGCGTTTGTCCCTATTGATCTGTTCAAATACGGAGGAAAGCTGCAATTAAGGAAATAGAGAGAGGAGAGGGATAGAGAGGAGTGGAGGGGAGGAGGAGTGATAGAGAGGTAGGATGAGAGAGGTGACAAGAGAGGGTCTATGTGTTAGTGTGTGTGTGTGGCATTAAGGAGAGGTTTGAATGACTGTTTAATAGTTTTTCAGGATTTCTGCGTCTGGGCCTCCACTGTCGATTCAATACACTCTTAACACTGTGCTGCTCTGAATGTAACTTAAAAGGATACTTCAGTGCCCTTCACATAACACACTTCAGATGTTGAAACTTTTGTCTGTAATATCCAGAATGATTTGCTTGTTTTTCTCAGACTACAATACACACACACACACACACACACACACACACACCAGTGCAAGCAATTTTCTGGCATTGTGCTTATTAAAGAAAGCTTGTTCTAAGTTCTGATATTTTTCATTTGGGATTAAAGGAAAGGAAAGAAATGTTAATCTGTTAGATGAAGGAATCTATTTTGATCTTTGTTTTGCTCACACTTTTGGGAACATAATGGAGGTGTGAAGCATTAAAACTGTAATTACAGACACTCTGAGATGATGATGACAGAGATGTGATTCCTGTGTGCTGAGGAAAACCTGTAAATCCTAACACACTGGACAACTGAAATTCAAAACACAGTATTTCCATAGAAACATATTTTCTCACTCACCTCTAGTGTTATCTAGCCATGCAGATACTGATTTATGCTGGTTGGTAAGATTTCTGCCACCACCCAAGCAAGTATAAATCACTTATATTGTTTTAAATAACCACCTGATACAACTCATTTAAACATCATCAAGAGACAAATATTAATAAGTAAAACAGTAGTAGTAGAAAAATACAACAATAAGTCACGAAAACTCAGCTTATGCAGAGTATTCCTAGAAAATATGATATTAAATACTTTTAATAGTGTCTGTGTGTATTCATAAAAAACAAGCTAGAGACAGTTCGTCATTTAAGCCCCAAGGATACACAGTCTGTAAATAATGTATCCAATAGGCCTCTCTTTGGAGAAGTCTCTTCTCCTTATCTCCTCACCTCTATGGCTCCCTGACCCCTTCAATACCCAAGAGCTGAACGTTTGTTTCTGTTTGCAGCCGTGCACATTAAAAGTGATTTATAATTAGTTGTTAGTGTTGACGGCTTTTTTGCCAGTTTTGTGACTTTTGGGTTGATGCCCATTATACTTTTAAGACATTTGAGTTGAGCATGCTGGTCCTTTTGTTGCCACAACCCAAGTACAATGGTGATTTACATTTCTTTTGTGATGCTCAAAGCATTCAAAAATGACAGTTTACTAATTTAACAGCAACACCCCATCTAGAAACTGTCCTCATATTATGCTGCATAAAATAGTGAAATAAGGACTATTTCTTTGTCAGAAAGTAGTTCCAGTAAAAACTGTCCAAGGTCTCTAAAGAACGACGTTACTCTACTGTATATTATTATCAATTCTCAATATAATATTTTCGATGACTGTAGCTCATGTGGTAGAGTAGGTTGGTTATTGTTGGTTGGCAGTTTTATCCTTTGTTTTCTCGTGTACACGCAGCCTTCAGTGTTTGTGTTACTCCTAAAATTTATAAAATGAATGCCTCAAATAATGTAATATTCTTTTTAAATGGTTAAATCAAATTAAATTTGCCCAAATGGTCGACACAAACAAAGGTTGACCTCTCTGTAAGGTTGCTGGTAGATGTAGTGAGCTGCGCATTAGACGAGGGGCGTGTGGAGAGATAAAGCAGATGAGAGGGATGTCAGATGTTTTCGTGTGTTTGAAAGCTTGTAATCTGTCATCAGGTCAAACAGCATTACACACACACGCGCAGTGTGCAGTCACACATAACCCACATTTCCTACCATCTTCTACAACCTGTACCCAGAGTCCTTTTAACTCAGCTCAGATGAAATTTAAATTCCCTCAACTGCCACAGGGGTGGGGACAAGCAATGCTAGCTTTTGAACTAGATTAATTTAATGGTGAAGTGTTAATCAAGTGTGTGTCCCTGTGCGTGTGTGCATGTGTGTGTGAGGATGGTCAGAGAATCAGTCATTAATTGCCATCAGCAAAGAGCACCTTCCACTCTGATGATAACAGCTGCAATAACACACAGGCCACATCTCTCTGATTTCTCCTAAATGAAGATAATGAAAACGCTTTGATGCAGCTATGGAAGTGTCGGTTTACATTTACACATGCAGCCTTGTTTGTGTCGTTTTTTTTCTTCTTCCTTCCATGGGTCGATGTGTGATCATGAAAGGATAGACACATCCAAACTCTATCTCAGACTGTCTTGAAGCCACAAAGTACTAATGCCTCTAAAAGGTGTGTGTGTGTGTGTGTGTGTGTGTGTGTGTGTGTGTGTGTGTGTGTGTGTGTGTGTGTGTGTGTGTGTGTGTGTGTGTGTGTGTGTGTGTGTGTGTGATAAATTAAACTGGAACATATCTCTTTCTCCTGTCTCTCCAGGCGGTGGGCTACAAGTTGGCGGTGCTGCCGGTTGCTGGGGCGCTGCTGGGCGGTGTATTAGGAGGTCCACTTGGCCTGCTGGACAAGAGGAGGATATGTAATAGCGAGTCAGGTTTTTGATAATCTAGCACGGCACACTATCCCACCATGAAGCCTGCTGGTGGCAGCATATGCTGTTGGAGGCTTCTCTGCAGCAAGCTCTGGATGGCTTGTGATGGAAAAGGGTCAGATGTAAGCAGAAGGGAATACTAAAGGAAAAATCTTTAAGTATATTAATCTATTTAAGGGGAGACATAAACTCAAAGGTAAAGTGACATGAAAACAAACCCTGTTATGTTCAAGATGGCTGTTCATTTGTATTCACTGAGAAAAGAAAGCTGGAGGAGACCATAAGCTCAAGGCTGAAATTTTAGCCAAAGGTGCCTCTTTTTTAGAAGTGTCTTGAAGGACATGAAACATATGCAATCAGAAATTTTGCAATTTTGCCCCTTCACTAATCTAGAAATTACATTTAGATGTGGAAATTAAAGCGTCTGATGATCAGTGTCTTGAAGTAATTACATCCAAAGCTAATAAACAGTAATATGATAAGTCAAAGAGAGGTGGGTACTTTTTATAGGCACAGTATTTGCCATAACACCTCTTGAGTTGTTTTCCTGGGAATCAAAGTAGGAGGAAAAATGTTTTGAAATGGTGTACTTTAACATGATCATGAATTATGAAATGGCTGTTGTTTTTGCTGTCACCTGTTGTCAAATGTGTCATCATGCTGGGGAGAAAAGACTGCATCCTTCCCAGTGTTTTCAAAAAGTTGAGACAGGGGAAAACCCATGTGATGAACGGTGGAAATTTTACAGTCTGCCACTTTATACAAGTCCTCTTAAAACTGGTTTTGTCTCTTTATATGTCTTTGAGGTTTTTGGTATAAGTCTAGATCCCTGGGATCCACTGAATGAAGTGTGAATGAAATCCAGAAGTGGAAGCCAGATTTTAAGAGTACAGGGACCCATTGATAAGTTTGTACCGTGCGTCTGCCTTCCATAGAGGCCAACAGATGCCTGCATTAGTGACATATCAGCCTACATACAGGAGAGCAACAGGGGGTAGTATGATGCCATTTCTAAACCAGTCCATCCAGAGGGGAAGGAGAGTAAAAAAAACGAAAGTAAATAAAAACCATTTTTAAGGATGTTGTTCGTCTGATGCTTTGTGCGTCCGTTTGTGCTGAACTTTACTGCTGTCGTTTGCTGTTTCTTTTATCTAATGAATGACATTACTGTTGGAAAGAAACATTTTATTTGGCAGTAAACCAGCAGTAGTAATAATCAATACATGGCAGGTTCTTAACACTCCAGTCATTGAAGTGATTGGACAGTGGCCACTTTGGCGCTTTTTGTGGCAATGTTTGCTCTCACGCTTGCAAACTACAAAAACAGGTCTGTATGTCAATATATATATAATACTCTGAAGCAGTACCACTTTTAATTTAAATTATTAAATAAATGTACAACAACAGTTATGTTAGGCCAAAAAACTATTTTCTCCACACATTCTTCTTTTTGTAGTTCTCAGTATTACAGCTGTTCATATTGGAACTTTTATTTTTTTTGAAAAGGAATATTAAATCATGATTATATTTATATTATATTATATTATAATTGTAACTAGCAACCCTGGTAAAAAAAAAAAGGTTTAAGCTTGAGGAACACACTAACTAGCATTCGACAGAATAAATTTGGGTTACTCTCTCTTTAAACTGACTTAATTTATTTGGTGCAAGGACTTCTTTTAGTAAGTGGTCTCACAGCTATGTTGGGCTGACTCAACCATTCACCAACAGCTGTAGTGTAAATAACTGCTTTGCCGTATTCAGAATAAAAAAAAAAATATCAGTTGTACAAAATTAGATTATGTCTCACAGAAACCGCATTCACACCAAACATCAAAGTATCCATCTCCCAAGTAAGGCTGTTATTACATAATTGTTTCACGGCAGTGCTTGGGTAAAGCAAAGCGTCGGCGTCAGTGTCAAATACTGAGTTTCTTTGAGTCTAGTTTGTGCTTCTGATTGGTCAGTCAACACAGAAGTCTCAGTGATTAGCCAGCAGTTGAGGTCAGAGGACTAACCACGACAGTTAGGTCATTTGTCCTTGCTGGACTCTGGTTCAGCTGGTGGTTCTGGTGGTGGTGCTGTCAGTTGTTTCATCTGTAGATCACGCGAGCTTTGCGGTGTTTTCTGGACCAGGTTGCCCCGCGACCCGAGGCGCCCCTCCAGCGCAGCAGCCACCCCTGCAGCTTTGAAGCCAGCCAG